GGAGGAGAGAAAAGTCTATACACCCTCTCCAATTTCTGGTTTTCACTTTCAACTCTCCAATTGTCCAGGTTTTGTGAACGTCTGAACAGAGTTTTCAAGAACAACTTGTCTTGCTTCACAGATAACACTGCTTTTTAATTCCAGTTTGTGGTTCAAATACCCCTTTATATAATGTAGGTCACTCAAAGTAATGCTTCCTATTTATTTCCATGGGGACTACAACAGATAAAAAGAACACAAAAAAACTATTGGATAAATCAAAATGTCAGCTATAAAACATTATTTTTGTATATAATCACCACCATTAGCTATACATTTTCTCCATCATGAACAACAGCCTGCATGTTGTGCTCGTAAAAATCTGTACAGCCCTCCAGAATGTAGCTTGTCTTTCACAGCACTGTTGCTGTTACTGAAACACACCACCCACTGCCTCACTGTGCTCACACTCACTGTTTGGTGTCCAGAAGCTTTCAGCAAGCATCAATGAATGTCAGTAGGTGCCATTTTTTTTCCCCAAATGGTGGAATTCAATTCCACACCTTTGCTTCATATACACTTCCATGTGAGATGCCACTTGTTAGAGTGCCCCTCTGCTGCCATCTGTTGCATGGCAATAAAATGTAGTTAAATATTGGCAGGTTGGCTCAACTTCTACAGCCATACCACCAACGTCCGCATCTGATGTTCTGGGCCAACAAAATAAAATAGGAGGCATTACTTTGGAACAGCCCTTGTATATCTTTGGCCATCTTCCAGCATGAAATGTTACATATTCACACTGCATTTTAAATTGCTGGAAAATCTGTTTTCTCATGCTAATCAGTAACTTGTAAAGCATATAGTGTTAAATACATAGTTCAATTTAATGGAGGCAATTCTGTTGATTGCAAAATCCATTAGAATACACTGGCACCAAAATAAGATTGTATGTGGCAGTCCATATTTAGTAAATTGAGGTTATTAATCAGACCCTGTTCCCAGTGTATCATTCATCCATATGTTAAGCATTTTTCAACACTCTGAGGGAACAGCAAGCACAGGCAGCTCCGCAATAGAAGATATATGAGGTTTGAGGGTGGCAACAGTGCAGGCAGGGGCTAATCCCTCACCAATAAAGTATTGAGTGACCATGAAAGTCCTCTCTTAAGCCAGGAAGTCGGGGCAGCATTGGTAGTATATAGGGCTGGTTACAAGCATACCTTGTACAAATCAAGCAGTGCTTGAACACAGCTATGGGTCAGAAGAGGTCCTGGAATGGGTTGCTTAGAACACTTGCAGCTCCATGGTGAACCCAAGAGCAGGGTCCTTGGGGGTCACTTTCAGTAAAGGTCTTTTTTACTTATTGCATATGCTACAAATTAATGGACCTCCCCCTGTGCTGGTTTAGAGTAGTACAGGCTCAAAAACAGATTCTGCTTCAGAATAAACTGAAAGAACAGTTACAGCCTATCTTTCTGTTTTTTGACAGTCAATTAATAGTACTCAGCTTCAAAAAATTTTGGCTGAATTCAGATACAATCCCCCTTCTTTGAAGTCTTTCGAACTTTCTTCATTCTCTCAGCATTCTTGCTTTTATTTAAGCATAAGCATTCCTGGCTGGGAAATGCCTCCAGTTCTAATGTGGAGCAGTAGGATCACAAGAAGATATGTAAGAACAAAAAGAATATTTTGACAACTTGCTTCCTTCAGGCATAAAAGAAATGTGCAGAATTTTACAGATTCTGTCAAACTGCCAATACACCACAGTTACCAAGGACCATCTGATAATGATGCAGTTTGGTAAGTCAATGTAAGATGCAGTTCCAAAAATCTCCCATTAGCAGATCACAAATGAACACTGATGAGCTGGAAATGTCTTCTCTATTATTGTAATTTCCATTCTACCAATGCAGATGTTCATGTTTTGGGGAAAAGAATGGGAAACACAACACTGGGTATGTTGTCATTAGCTGCATCATCTTTTTGTGCTGGAAAAGCATATCTGAAAATAGAGCAACTTGTAGTTTGAGAACCTTACTGCAGATTGTAGTTCCAAATGAAGCTGTAAAAACATCTCCTTCAAATGATGAACTTAGAAAAGCAGATACTGTCATACTCTGAAATGCCAAGGGATCATGACTGTCTTTTGGTAGAGGACCAGGAGACACATTGCTCAATGTGAACCTACATTTTTTTGTACAGAAAAGGAGTGATACCAGAAAAAGACAGCAGCATCCATATTTCAGATCTCATTGCTCTAAGCTTCAAAGGGATGAAACATTATTTCTCTGTATTTTCAAAAGTTCTGTCTGAAAATGAGAGATTTTCACATTCTTTCTGCATTCCAATAGATTAGTAAATTTTGTTATGGACAAGCCAAGGTTTTGTATTGGCAAGACTGTGAATTAGTGAACTCAAATTCCTGAGCTGCTGCCCGCTTCTCTTCTGACTACAGTAGCTCTTAAAAAGATCCTCAAACATGCACTTTTATAAGGATGTAATTGTTAGCACACCGCAATGATGGTATATTGAGTCAAGGAGTAGGAATGTTCTTGAAGACATTGCTGTTTTGTTCTGCACTAGTAAACATGTTATATTTCCCAGGTAACTAAACCTTTACTGGGAATATTCCAAACCATCAATATTATAACCTTTATATTCCTGAAAGGGAGGTGATCTGGATACTAGAGAAATTCTTTTTCTGGAGAAAAATATCTAGGGGATGAATATGACTTGGCTAACTATGTACATGATGAGAAACAAGTGTTCTTATAAGGACTCTTTGCCAGGGAGTTGAAGCAAAAAGGATCATTAAGAGAACTGCAGGAAATATACTGTGGTATGTTCACATATTGAAGACAAGGATTTTCTCAGACACAATATTATATTAATAGTCCAGAAAGTTAATTCTTCTGTCTGCATCTGCTCCTGGTGACCTAGTGGTTATCTTGCCAGCTCTGAGTACTCTGTGATCTGAAGATGCCTCTACTGTTGAAGCCTCCTCAGGCAGAAAGGTGGACAGTTGTCTGCCTCTAAGCAGTGACTTTTGTTGAAAATAGCAGGAGATGCCAATACCAAAATTTATCTACAATGGGATTCAAGGAAGTGCTAAGCTAATTAAAGGTGCCTATAATGGGGAACATGAAAATATGACTTAGAAGAGGATAAGCAAGTGCAAGTTGTTTTGCTTATATTAAAATGGTTGGAATGGACAACTTCTGGAATTCTTAGAACTGTCTACACATTTCTATGAAATATACACCGTATGTATAAATTTTATTGATGATATTTTCAAGCATTTTAGGAATGTTTTTTCATGTTCAAAAAAATAACTTATTTTGAAGGAAAATGGGGAAAAATGTTTCACTATCAGAGGAGTTAAATATTAAAGACCATCTCTGTCGTTATTATTTTCCTAGTACTGTGAAGACATCCTAGCTACAAAGGGTTCAGAATTCATCTAATCTTTTTGTGACATTATAGTATGTGTGCCAATGCACAGTGTAATTGCATAGTACTATTAAAATGTATGGAAACAGAGACTATAGAAATTCTTTGCTTGCTGTACTAGATGTGTGATTAGTGTATTTGTATCCGTACATATTAAAGACAAAGAAATTGCACTGGAACCAGAGGGGATGCGGGAGTATAACAAACAGAGGAAGTGGACATTGCTTCCTAAAGGAATTGAAAAAGTGTGAAAGAAAATAGGTTAGATTATATATATTAAATGAGGAAAAAATAGACAAAAAACTGTATCAAATAACTTCATCTTATGTCAAGTAACACTTGTTGCTGCTGCTGGAGTTATGAGAAGTGCTTGTCATCAACTGCACCAAAATAACATCCATCAGTGGGGATTTCCATGCATTTGCAAGTGATTTGTTTGACATAAATATATTTCCTTCAGAGTTGTAAAATATACATAATTGGTTTGATTACCTCAAAGTAAAAGTTGAATACAAAACAAACAGTTCCTTCTAGAGATTACAAGAATGATGTTCCTATGTGTAGTTATTTCTCTTCATGACCTTTGTGTGTGTAGTGGAGAAGCTAGTAGTTGGGAGTTAGGAGTCATTGCCCATTCCTAGGCAGAACCATTGGCTCATTTTGCTGATCACAGAAACCACTGTTATATTAAGGTTTTCTTACCTGCACTGATAAAAAGATTCTCCCATCTTACACATGAAAATGTGCTTGGAAGTAGTGATGTGGGTAGACACCACTGCCAGTCTTTAGCAGAAGGAGTTGTATTGCCCTCCTTATCTTTTTGGGCATCCATGTGTAATGTTTTGGGGTGATGGGAAATAAATAAATCTGTCGGAAATACGCTTCATTTGTAAAGAATATAGAGACTAAAGAATTAAGAATCAAGCTTTTATTCAAATAGAAATAACTGTGCTGTCTACGTAGCCTTAACTTTCATTTTCATGCTAACAGTATTTAGTTCCATTTTACTATTCTGTTCAGTCAGCATGAGGTGGAGGCAGAACAGAACTGCTGAATGATTTTGGTTTTAAAAAAGAATGAAAGATTTGTATCTAATACAAGCTACTCCTTTTTCATTTTTTGATCTAATCTTGTTTTAAATGGAAGTCATTGCAGACTGTCCTGTATGATACTTGAATTTTTTTTTTGAATCGGTTTTTAATTAAAATTTTATGTACACAATTTTTATATTTCCTGAGGAATGCACACACAGTTAAATATGTTTTTGCCATTTTGTCTTTAATTTGCCATGAAACAAATTCACTGCAAGTATGTCGTGCATTTCTCATATATGACATCTATTACATAAAGCACATTTTATAATTATTTAATGAACCTTTATATCTGACCTGTAATTTCAGTTAAATTACTTGTAGCATTGATCCTGCATTTAAAGCTTTTCAGAACAGAAGAAGAATTCAAAACGAAAAAGAGAGCAAGCAGTAAAATATAGATGAAGGCTCTAGATTTCTCTTCTGCTGTGTTTGTGAGATAGTAGCAAATCCTGTATGATTTTTATTCTGTTTCAGCGGTTTACCTCTGCAAGCGGACAATGCAAAATAAAGCAAGGCTAGAGCTAGCAGACTATGAAGCTGTAAGTACCCGAGGAAAAGTAAATTTCTTTGCTGATCTTAATTAGCATGTAAAATAATGATAAGCATGAGAACTGTGGGCATTCCATAGTTGTACAACTTTTGCCAGCATGTGGGTTTGACATTGCTCAGGAGTCATAAAAACTGTTTCAGAGAGAGTAGCAAAGGCTGGCTGGGCAAGAGTTGACAGTTTGGCTTGTCTCCAATACTGGATCATCATGCAAGGATCAGAAACAGCTGCTTGCAAATCCCACATACACCTCATGTGTTTGAAAGCAACTGTATTCTACGTAGTATAAAGACTTGAATGAAAAGTCTCTGGCAATGTTTTGAGAAATATTTAGTAGCTATAGAGATATGAATCTCATTCTTAAAAGTGTTGCTGGCACTTGAGCTTACATCTCATCAGTTATACTATAGGCAAAGACTGTTAAGAGTAGAAGCACTTCCCACTCTAAATATCGTGCTCTGCCCCAGGCAAGAAAGCAAGGTAATTGGGGCCAGAAGGAAGGAGTTTGATTAGGTGATGAGGATGGCACTGACCAAGGAGATGGTTTGGATTCCATCCCTATTCCCCCAAAAGTTCCTGAATTTTTCATGAAAGTGTCAACATAAAATTCATGCACAGTCCTGTCTCTGCACTGAAAGCTGTCCAGCTCTGTTACTATGACATGATAGCAGGATAGTCAGCCAGACCTCTCAACATGCCAAATACTCCAGCCTCAGCGTCATGCTGACAGACTTCATTGCCTCTTCTGGCACAAACTTGCTTTTCAGTGAACTGCTCTGTGAGATATGTATGATTTTATATTTGCATACCTTAGAAAAGTTACCTCTAGTATACTATTCATAAGAGCCTTTATTGGTATTTACAAGATTTCCAGTCTCTATAATCTTTATTTTTGGTAAGAATTTATTTGAGAGACTTTTGCAATACATAGAAATACAATTAACACAACACTTTTTGTTAGGAAGTTTAAAGATGTTTTTTCACTTAATCTCAATAAAAACATTGTGCAATGGCAACTGGGATCTTTCTTGATGAATGTAAGTACCTCATTCTTCTCCATGTTATCATACTGCATGCTGCTGCCTCTTATGCTTAAGACAGATAGAAAAGCTCTGTCACAGACCACGGAACTGTTTTCCAGCGCCACCAAAATAATTTTCTCAAGGTTTGGAAAATCTTCTTCTTGTTATTAGTAGTAGAATATAGTATATATACATTCCTCATGCAGGATTGAATAACTTTAGTCTGCATTTCTTTTGAAATGAGAATAGCAGTGGATAGCTTGAAAGACTCCTACATTACAAAAATATTCCTACTTTCTCATTATTGTATTTTAAATACATTTGTATGTAGCCAACATTATCAAACACAAGTCACTCATACAGGCAACTGATGGAATTTGTCATGTGGATCATTCAATATGGAAATTTCTTCTGTTACCTTTCATGAGTAGGTATAAAACAAGAATGTGGTTTTGCATTATTACAGTCCGACACCCAGAACATGGAAATCTTTCAAAAATCCCATGTTCTGTTAGAGGGTTTCATCCATCCTTATCATCAAATTTTCAGAGCAAGAATAGTGAGGACATTAAAAAGTAGTGTTGATGTAATGTTCTATCCTCTTTGGATTTGTGCAAACACTTTAAATCATAAGGTACATTTACACTGGTACACGCCATGGCTTGCATTACGTCTTTTTTGAGGGGAGGCATGGGAGAAGGAAAAGGTAAGGCAAAAACTATTAAACAGTAAATTGCTATCTAACTTGTCAAAACTGTGATCTGTTTTCAGGAGAGCTTGGCCAGGCTACAGCGAGCATTTGCTCGGAAGTGGGAGTTTATTTTTATGCAAGCTGAAGCACAAGCAAAGTAAGTTCCTTTGAAGATGAGTTTTGTATGTGTATGTGTGTGTGCTTTTAAAGGGAGTAGGGGATGAATAAGATATTGGAAACCTCATATGTTTCAAATCACTAATACGGTTTCTTTTAAATATCTCGTAACAATGACAGAGTTGACAAGAAGAGAGACAAGATAGAAAGGAAAATTCTTGACAGCCAGGAGCGAGCGTTTTGGGATGTGCACCGGCCAGTGGTGAGTGCTGGTGGAGTTGTGCTGCCTGGGAGCAGGACTGATGGTGAACATTAATCTCTGTAGGGTGTTCAAGTAGTGTGGAAACAAGTAAAAGGACTGTAAAGCATGAGTTGGGGCCTGCCTTTCTACTTGCAGTATCAACGGTTTCTATCATTCTGCTATGTAAGACTGCTTTTAAGTTTACTCACATTTTAGGGTTTTCAGGAAATAGGTTTGTTGTGTCTAATTTCTTGAATCATACAGTAACTTTTTTTGGCTATTACAGTCTCAAATGTATTGCAGGGTATGAGTCACACCACCAAATTATCATCATATCTAAAACTGCTTTTAAATAAATCAGAATATGTTTTAATCTAATTATTTGCTCGCTAAGCCTTCCAATTTCACTGGTCATATTTTCAGGTTTTTTTTAAATGTGAATAAAGGTTAGCTATTGTTAGCTTTGATGTGTGAAAGCTGTACAGTCTTAACAAGATTTGTCAGATTTCTCTTTTAAAGTCCATCTGAAATTAAAAAAAAAAAGTCCTACTTCTTCAGAGAGTGAAAACAGAGAGAGAAAATACCAAATGTCATAACAATTCTGATTGATCTTTGAGAAGTGAATAATCACACTGGTTTGCATTACTACAGAATTATATCTGTTTTTCATACGTATCATTAAGCTACATACACATTTTGATGTAATCGCCAGTGAAACAGAATATGGACTGTATATTCCACTGACATTTTAGTAAATACGGAACTAAAGCTTACTCATTTTTATTCCTAGTTGTTAGATGACTTAAACTGTAACAACAGCTGGTGCTATGTTCCCAGTAATTGTTTTGAGGAAGTAAGGTCAGGTTGATGAAACCTGTAGAAGAGGTGGATGGGGTGAAAAAGTTTCAAAGAAAAAATAGTGAACTTCAGCAGGGTCAACTTGCACTTGTATAGAGTGGTATTGGAAGAGCAGTAGAAGAGATGGATTTTTAGGTAAGATTTAAAACATCAAGTAGGGAAAATCATTTGAAGTGAAAGATTCAGTCTGCAGGCATTAGATACAAGAACATTATTGTCTAGTCACTGGCATTAAACAACAAAGGAGGGCAGAAAAACAATCTGCCACCTGATGTTCATGGAAGCTGCCAACAGAAGAGACATGGAATGTTTCTATGCACATAAAAAGTTTAAAGGCAGACAGCATTTATATTAGCTGCAGAAATGGATTTAAGGGATTTGAATCTGGGAATGAGATGCTGTTTCCATGTTTGGAAGATTTTAGTTAAGGTATAGGCAGACAATAAGGGGAGATTTAAAGACATCAGAGCAAGAGGAAATTGAATCTGATTAAGAGCTTTGACTGAACTGTGGATTAATCTGCCTAGTCTTTCTGAGATTTTTAACCTGGCTGTAGGCAAACATAGGAAATATCAAAGATAAAAGATTGACTTATATTCAGCAATCTAGGCTTCTGAGTTTAAGAGCTATTAGTAGAAGAATAGAGAGGAAATCATTGGCACTTGGGCTAAACCCAGGAACACATTTCTTTTTTTTTTTTTTTTTTTTAAATAATGGCAGAGTAAATATATTTTAAGTGCTTTCATTTCTTTACATCTTCCCAGAAAGAGCATTTCCCTAATTTTGAAACTTCTATAAATAGCAGATTATGGAACTGATTGAATGAAAATTGATTAGGAGAATTAGGGTTTCAGTCAAAAAGCAGTAACAAAACAGCTAAAACAGGGAAGACAGGTGAAAAGAAATTAAGTTGTTCTTCTTTGAAAAGTAATGTTAAATGTCTGGATTGAAGCCTTTGTAAAAGAACTCATAGCTTTCCTGAATCTAGGCAGACTCTGTTAAGGTGAAAAAGTGACTCTAAGACCAATACACTGATGATATAACATTTATAAATACTTCTGATTTCAAGATTTACGGGTTTCATGACATTGTTGCCTGGTAGGAAAGTAAGGAAAAAGTGACCTTGTCATTTCTTTAAGGCCTTGTCACACATTCTACACCTTCATCTTTTCTCTCTATTACATTTTTTACTGGATTCTGTTTCCATTGATCTCATTTTACCTGTTTATATTTTAAAATTGTAATTTATGTGGTCTGAACATGATCCTCAGTATCTGAGCCAGAAGGTAATACTACCGGGTGTTCAGGGTCATGCAGTGGATAACTGTGGTTATTTGTTCTGGGCTTTCTTTTCTTTTTCTTTTTTTCATTTATTCTGCTTTTAATGACTTTTCCATCCTGTTCTTCAAGATCAGCCTCAAAGACTTGGCAAAGGACTGCATTTAACTTGGCTAAGGGGGAACAGTCCTTCTTTTCACACTTCACGTGCTACAGACCCTGAGCTTTTCTGGGTCAGTTGTTCAGCCGCAGAACACTTCTCTCTGCCTTACCTCTTAAACATCTATAGGAAACAAACATAAATTATGCCATCCAACTTATCTGGTGATGTATCTGTTCTGATTGCACCTGTTTCACCATGTACCTTTACAAGGGAGTTACCCATCCAACAGTCAAGGAATGTAGACAACGCAGCTGTTGGCAGCCTCAAATAATCACACTTCTGGTAATAAAATAAATGTATTGTACAATGTGTTATTTTCAGAATTGTGAAATAAAACTGATGAGGTGATGGAAAGATGCTGAAAAATGAGATGACCTGGTTTTTAGTAGGACTCAATTCTGGTAGAAACTGAGATAATAAGCTGAAATATTAAGTACAATAAGTAGAAAAACAGATTTAACAGATTTCCTTATGCATCAGTGTTGCAAATACTGTAATTTTCACAAAGATCATATTAACACATTCTTAATTAAAATTCATAGTACTTAAACAAATTTTGAATCTATGCAATTTATGTAATTTATGTACAGTAACATCTGGTTCTGAAAACTACTCACTACAAACCTAAAACAACCTGTTGTAAATTAAGAATAATCAGAAATTGGATTAGCTTTCAGAAAGAATTAAGCATATCACTTCTGTCATATACTCTTTAGCACTGTTTCTAGTTTACTTTTAAGTAACTTAAGTCTTTAAAAATTACATTTCAACATCCCTTTTGTATGAATTTTATATATTATGTCTTTTCTGTGACAAAGAAACCACTATAAGAAATATTTTCAAAAGTGATATGATGAAATCCTATTCTCTTCAAGTGAAAACCCTGTTTTGTACTAAATCTGACCTTAAACAAGCAAGGAAATGAGAATGTGAGCATCAGTGTCACAATTCAAGATGCTCACATATGGATGAAATTTATGGCTTCGTTTATTATATTAAATTTCTTGAAAATCTCTGTGTATCTCTTCTTCTCCTGTCCCAAGAAGACCCTTTATTTGCAAAGCCACTGGAATTCCTTTTGTGCCTGATATTACTCAGGGAAAAGATCTGAGCTGTAGTTTGAGAGGACAGGTATAAAGAGGAAGCTCATGCAACTTAGGTCCCTTTTTTTTTTTTTTTTTTTTTTTGAAAAGATACTGGAAAAGATACTGAAGTTTTAAGCAACCCTCACTTTGCTGTTCAGTGGTTGAGTGTGACTTCCCATCTCTTTTTAAAACATGTATTGCACGTTAATTAAGGCTTGATTAAACTAACTGATCATTTCTTCTGTATCTGATGCTTTTTGAACCTCATTTTTCTTGTCTAAACAAGAGAACTTTTAGTTAAATTTTTATCCATTTTTATCCATTGATCCTATTCATGCTTTGATTAATTTTAAACTGCAGAACAGGGGACCTTCTGCCATTTTAATAGTACTCAGTTATCTTCAAATAAATCCTTGACTAAAGCATGTATTGATGTTACTAATTGGTAGAAATGGCAAGTTGTCTTTTATAAGAGACTTATCTATAGTAGGTTTAACTTATGCTTATGCCTGTATTTGCAGTTTATCAAGAATTCATTATTTCTGCATCGCTGTATTTCCAGTGAATGACACAATCAGGATTATTGCTTATTCATTTCACTTTAATAAATAAATTTGTAACTGTATATCTCTGTTATGTAATAACTCAAAATGAAATTAACTAAAGAGGACATATATTGAGCATTTAAATTCACTCTGTGCTTCCTGCATAGTTCTCTGTTAAAATCTTCAGCAGGAGAGAACACTTAATCCTAACAAAGCTTTTATTAATTATTAGCAGGACGATCCTTTCCTTTGTACAAACCACTCCAAAAGATTTGACATTGGATATACTGAGGCCTGAAATGCCATTTCAATAAATGAATAAGAAAGCATGAAAAGCTATATTTAGGAAATTAAAAGCCAACAGATTGTACATTGTCAGCTGATATAGGCAAGTTTTAGCAGCTAAGCTGGATAATACTAATTTGTTTCCATAATATTATTCAAGTGTAGATCACTATTTTCAAAGATAGTTCCAGCATCTTGTCAGATGTATCATGTTTTAACAATATATTCAAATTAAGGAATATAACCAAATTTGCAGCTGTGCAGTGCTGCAGTGCAAGTCCACTTCCAAATTGTATTCACTTATTTTAGTGTCAGACTGAATTCATAATACTGTAATTATTTACCCTATTTGTGTTCCAGAAGGATTGTATTTAGTTGTATAGTACAGGTTTTAAGATGAATGATTAAAAGTTTGAAGAAATTGTGAAAAATACTTCAATAGAACAAGCAGGTTTTAATAATTTTTTCCTGATTACGTGCCAAATTTGCAAGGCATCTGGGAATTAATTTGAAACATAACTGCTACAGAATTTATTTTGTAAGAAAATCTTGGGATTTTCTTCCTAAACATTAAATATAATTTATCAGTGTTAATTGAAAAGCATCACTGTTCTTCCCAGATGAGCTAATTCACAACAGAAAAGAGAGTTCTTGGGAAGAGCTAAGAAAATTGTGATACGATTTTAGAGAAGTTTGGTCTGGAGTTGTAGAGAGTTAAAAGAACTTGGTAATATCTGTATATAAAGTCATAATCAAGCTAATATACTGATTGCGATTTCTACAATGTCCCCATAGACTTTAATCTAT